ATAATGCCACATAAAATTATTTAATTGTCACCTCATACTTAACTTACGGAGGGACCAAAACTATGCAATTTTTAGAGTTGAGGGATAAAAAAAATGTAAAAAATTGTTAAGGGATCAAAAATGTTCATTTCTTAAAGTTGAGGGACTAAATTAAGCATTTAACCAAACAAAAAAAGAAAAAAAAAGAAGAAGAAGCAAAGATCTGACCAAAAGTTAGTGGCCCTCTGACCACTGCTTTTCTCCACAACGTGCCCTGACCTGTCCTAATCATTCATTTTCTCCTTTCCCCAAGGTCCAAAAAATTGTATAATGTTATTTTTTATTTTTTATTTTATTTTAAAATTTAAATTTAAAACTTGGTATAAATTTAAGTTTTTAATTATTAAAATATCCTTAAAAAACACCGTTCTTAAGCATTCTTGGAACGTAAAAGCGGAGCTCCTTTTAGCTGGAGTGCATTTTACAACACACATTAATTCCATTTTTCAAATTATAGATTAAGTTGTTCTTAATTCATCTCACTATTATATTATTATATGATTTAAAGTAGTAGTAATATAATTTTCTGTAAAAAAAATACTACTAATTTATTCACATAGTTAGCAATCGATAATATTTATCGGTAATAATTACATGACATAAAATAAACCAAACGGGTATTAAATTACATATTTTATACAGTAAAAAAGAAATAATAAAAATTATTGTTACATCATGTTTTTAATAAAATATTATAAATAAATATTATTAATAAATTATTTTTATTAATATAATATCAAATATTAATAAAATTAAAATTAATATATTTCAAATTTAAAATTACAATCAATTGAAAAAGTGTTGGGAGGATATTAATAGTACTTTTCGATTATTTGAGATGCATTAAATATTATTTTAAAATTTTGAAAACAACTAATCAAACAAATTAAAATGTTTAGATTATACTAAATAATAATAAATTGGTATTGAACATCTTCTATCAGTTGCTTTTATACAATTAATCTAGACACCGTTAACGCTTTTTCAATAAATTAGGAGTTTTAAGAAAAACAAATGTTAGGATAATTTAGTAAGTACCATTACTAATATTTACGTAATTATATATTTTTAATAGAAAAGCAAAATAAATCTTATGATTCCTGTTGTGACCCAGAAAGATCAGAGTACTAAAATGATTTAGTGATAGTTTTTTTTATAATTTTTTTGTATAATTTCATATGTTATTTAATAATTGATCTTTTATATTTTATTAAAATTTGTAATATTATATAAATTTATTTAAGTAATGATATGTGAAAGTTATATCCATATAAATTAAAACTCTATTTCGATCATTTTATTTTAACAAAAAATTTATTTTTAGTCCTATGCTTAAAAAACTCATTTTTAGTTATCAAAATTTATTATTTTGACTCCTTTTTAATTTATTTATTATCTTTTTACATACGTGGTGAATTAAATGATAAAAATTTCAAAACAATGAAACTAAAAAATAACTTAAAAAGAAGTTTTTTTTTTTTTTGAACAACAATTTTATTATTTAGAGTACAAAGCGTGCTCTAACCCATAATTCTTACATCATATCTTAGTTTTAGGGTCTTTTGATAATTGAACTGCCTATACCCTTGTTCAGTTCATGTGTTACCCACTGTATTTTAGACAATTTTTTGGTGTTAATAGCCAATCTGTCAATGAGCATGACCAGTTCTTGCTCTTTGCTTTCAAACATTCCCATGATTTGATTTGGATGCATCAAACACCCTTTGAGTATCTGGTTCCTTCCCTTTGAATACACAATTATTTCTAGTTAGCCATAAAGACCAAATATACGCAAACCATATAGTCTCCTATCCTTTTAATAGCTTCCCATCTCCAATTAGTCCGAGATGTTGAGAGAAAGCTTCCCAGCAAGTTCTTGGTCTAACTGATTGCATTCCCCACCAATTCAAGCACATGCCCCATAAGGAATATGCAACACAACAATGTAAAAATAAGTGGGTGGAGGTCTCAACTTCCTGTTTACATAAGGAGCATGATGTCATGTTGTAGCTATTCAGGATCCCCTCTTAAACAACTCAAATTTAGTTGGTAATTTATTCTGGATTAACTGCGACATCATAGCATTAATTTTACTTGGGGTTAGTGAATTCCAAACTTTCATAAAGATTTCTGCATCAGCTCCAGGGTTTGACGCTTTCAAGAGTTTGTAAGTTGAACTAGTAGAGTATCCATGGATGTTATCTAGCTTCCAATCCCATTTGTCTTTGATCCCTTGTTTGCATTGGGCTAAGGAAACAACACCAAGCAAGTCTGATTCTAGTTTCTCCTCCCATTCCTTGAGATTACGCCTCCATTTTAAGTCCCACTTCCAGTGGCCATCTAACCTTGTGCTCATTTGGTTAACCATATTTTGTTGACTTGTTGATAGAAAAAATAACCTTGGATATATGTTAGATAAAGTTCCTACTCCTAACCAGTTGTCACGCCAAAAACCAACCCTTTTCTCCTCCCCTAATTCTAACTTTACATTGCCAACAACCACCCCTCCTTTCCTACCACCACACCATTTAGCTTCCTAATATTTTACCACCGAACAGAGCTTCTTCCCTTTCAATACTTCTATTTTAAAAGGGTCATTTTTTAGCTTTTATATTTTAAAATTTTTATCATTTAACATTTTACATGTATAAAAATAACAATAAACTAAAAAGAAGCTAAATAATAAAATTTAAAAATTAAAAACAAAGACTTTCTTAAATAAAAATTAAAAAATTTCTTTTTATTAAAATAAAATAACCTAAACTAAAGTTTTAATCAATAAAATATTTACTCATATTATTACCCGATTAAAGTCTATAAAGCGCGCCACCGTACCATCCGTTAGAACTGTTGGCTTGTCCTTTTGCCCTACTGAGGCCTCTAACGGCAAGTCAACTCCAGCAAAGAAAAAAAAAAAAAAAGGTCTATAAAGCGCCTCACCGCACCGTCCGTTGGATCTGTAAGTCAATTCCAGCAAAACAACAAAAAAAAAAGGTCAAATAAGGGTTTTTTTAAAATAAAGATATAATAAATATATATTTTATATTAAATTTTATT